CTGTCTCGAGTTTGTTGGCTTTTGTCGCTGCTGTCACTGACTTCGTCGCCACCTGCCGCTTTGACTACGCCACCACTCTGGTCTCCGACCCTGCCCCTGCCCTCCGTCCATCGAGGGTGTGGCTGCTCTTGGCAATGATGTCCTAGAGGACAGGCTGTACAAGCTCGTTTTCCTGTCTGAGGCCGCTCCCCATCTCTGTTCCATGCTGCTAGTCCCTGAGGGTGACCCAGACGCCTTTGACATCCTGACCCCTCGCACCTATGCTGAGGCCACCTCGGGACCGGGGGCTTGCAGTGGATAGCTGCCATACAGTAGGAGATGGAATCTTGGAGATCCATCGGTACCTTCGTCGACGCAATTCCCCCATCTGGGGTGAACGTAGTTGATGGCTGATGGCTCTTCAAGGTGAAGCGTCCTCCTGGAGAGCCGTTCATCTTCAAGGCGTGCTACGTTGCTCGAGGCTTCAGTCAGCGTGAGGGGGTGGACTTCTTTCAGACCTTCGCCCCGACCCCAAAGATGACTACTCTTCGGGCACTGCTACACTTAGCAGCACTTCGTGACTACGAGCTGCACTCCCTCGACTTTTCCACAGCTTTCCTCCAGGGCAATGTACATGAGCAGGTCTACCTGCGCCGCCCCCAGGGCTTCTCCGGTACCTTTCCCCCTGGTACCGAGTGGCTCCTCCGACGCCCCATCTACGGCCTGCGACAGGCGCCCCGTGAGTGACACGACACAGCTGATATCTTTACTAAGGCGCTTGCGCGTAAAGATCATCAGGGGCAGTGTGTATTGCTAGGTCTCATTCCTGTAGCCTCTTACCGCCCTGGTCTTGCTCTTGCCTTGTTTGTAGTCGTTTGACTGGTCTTATAGACCCTTGCCTCAGAGGCTGGACTAGTAGTGCCACCCTGAGCTGCATGTCTCTCACCAGGCACTGCCCGTATCTAGTCTAGGGGTGTGTCAAACATATCCGTGCATGTTGTTATAGAGTACACAGGGTTGTGCCTTAGAGAGTACAACCCACTAGGTTATATTCCCTTGTATGCCCTAGTCCTATTCATTCGTTAACTTTGATAATATTATGGGCCCCCGGTAGTCAGTTTTGGTTGTGCATAGGGTCCTGCACGTGCGTCACGGGGTTTTTGGTTTGGAAGTGCAGCCTCTGGGACTGTGGGAGGGGGAGTGAGGGTGGGGATGGTGCCGAGGAGCTCTCGTTGGGCTTGCATCAAGCATGTAACCGACTGACAGTTATGGCTATTTCCATCAGGGAGAAGGGTTGGTTGCGACGCGTGCGGGGGCACCGAAAGCTGCTGCATGCGTACTTGTCAGGGTTTCCATTCATGGATCATCTCCTGATTGTCTTCCATTTCCTGACAATCACTGTGCATGCAAGACCTTTTTATATGACACGGATGGTGCCCTCTTGGCCAAAGGTGGTTGAGGCCTTTTGGGATTGAGATACCTGCCTAGAGAGTTGCTTTGAGTAATTTTTCTCGACCGATAGCTAGGAGGTTGTTCCGCAAAAGTCACGCATGACCCGTCTGCACCCCTCGTCAAGCGTTTTTGGTATTCGATCGGCGACCAACCTCACTCCCCTATCTTAGGCGTGCGGATGGTGTCAGTCTGCGTCTACTGCCACTTTGTTAGGGGTGGCTGGTGAAGAGCCAATGTTTGCGGTGTTCTTTTGCATGCCATAGGTGGGGGTGTTGCTCGATAGCTGGTTTATCAGGGCCGTGGACATGCTTCCACAACTAGTTCAGCAGGAGATGATGGCCCTCTCCCTTTGCGTGACCAGCCCCTCATTGTTGTTGTTCCCCACGCAGTAGTGTCACCTTGTCGTAGAGAGCTTGCAGTCCCTCCAGAGCATGGCCCATGGCACCACTACCCTGGCCCATTTGACATTCTTTTAGGGCTCGGGGGTAGGGGTATGTGTTTCGGCAGTTTCAGTGCACGACAATGCCACATTTACTTCGGTTGAATAGGGCATCTCTGTGTCCATACTCTGGGGTCTTCCTATGCAGCAGGTGATGGTCGAGAGAAACCATGTCAGTGGGATATAGTTTGTAGACCCGCCGGATCCGCACCATGCCCTTCGCTGCAATCATCAGTACGCCCCCTCTCGTATTCGTGATGCTGCGAAGTTCGTGGTGACCAGGACCGCAATGAGCCCTGGTGGGGTGGTGACTATGGAGGCTGACAATTATTGGGTAAGAAGGTGGATATGGTGGTATGCAGTCCAATGGAGGGTGAGGCGCACGCGCTCGAGGCGAACATTGTGGATCCTGTCTCTCTCTCTCCCTCTCTCTCTCTCTCTCTCTCTCTCTCTCTCTCACTCTCTCTCTCTCTCTCTCTCTATCTCTCTCTCTCTCTCTCTCTCTCTCTCTCTCTCTCTCTCTTCATCTCCTCACTCTCTCTCTCTCTCTCTCTCTCTCTCTCTCTCTCTCTCTCTCTCTCTCTCGCTCTCTCTCTCTCTCTCTCTCTCTCTCTCTCTCTCTCTCTCTCTCTCTCTCTCTCTCTCTCTCTCCTTTCAGCAAAAAGTTGATGTCCCCCACCTGACCCGGCCAGACTACTAACCCACGATCGGCCAGAAAAACACCTTCGGGATATTCGCGGGACAATTTTTCTTCCAACTGTCCCACAAATGACCTTGCTGATTTCCGAAATGTACTCCTGACCTCGACGACACCTCTGGGATAGGACGTAGGTTGGAGACGCGGGTTCAATTCCTATCAGCACCACATTTTCGACACAATTTTCTGTACAGGGCCAGACAACTCAGCGTGCAGTGAAGACCCGGGTTCGAAGCATGAAATCGACAAATGGTGCAGTGACATTCTTCGACTTGCAAAATGAAGCAACTATTATTTGGCTAAACTGTAAATTGCACACACATTGTTGCGACACAGAATTGTAGTAACTAAACAACATAAAATTAACCAAATTGTTATTTCACCTATACAACTACCGAGTAACGTCATACTGCGTAATGTATTTTTTGTTATGGAAAAGGATCTATTCCTCAACTGCAAATCTGATTGTAAATATGATTGTAGTCAAATACATCATACCATAGTAGCTTAAGTCAAAACCGTAACTCCTAGTGTTGCGAATTGGGAACGAGGTCTCGTGCGACCCAAACCTGCACGGTCTGTGAGCGGTCAATGCCAAGCCACGTCATTCCTCCCCAGGCAGTTTTGCACGGCAGCCTTTTACTAAGCCTTTCGTATCATTACGCGCCAACTGTCGAAGCGAAACCAGACCTCCCCTCCAAGTGCTGTCCACCTCAGCCAAGCAGTTGCGCGTAACCTCATCTCAAACCACCAGCCAACAACCAATCCCATTCAGCCCCCCTGAATAGCGAATCCCCCTCCCAGCCAAGTAACTATTTGAAGTTCTTTCTAGGTCGCGTTTTCAAAAGTTTCATGTCGCTCTCACATTCTATGAAACAACCTTCGCAGCAGCAATGCAAAATTGACGCCCAAACATGTCGCGAGATGTTTTGTAACCCAAAAGTCGTACTGGATACCGAGTATAGGTGGAACACAAAATACAAGGACCACGCCCTAGGGTTTCACCCACGTAATCCCACCCCACCATGCTGAGCTCCCATGCTCTTTAGTCCCCTCCAAGTCCTCGTCCTCTGTTTGTTTTTTTCCACATCTAGCTGCTCCATTGATGTGTCTGGGTTCAACTGCCTTAGTATAGCCATTTAGTTAGTACAGCTATTCAGTTTCGCAAATCAAGAGTCGCAATCCCCTGTCAATGTTTACCTACTTGTTACTCAGTTTCCGCATCCTGGTAGCTTATGCCATGCCCATTTCGTGTCCTGCAGACTCATCCATTCTCTCCTTCGCCGTTTTATTTTTGTAGGAAAACACGTTCTGCAACGCTAAGTGTCGCCAATGAAGATGCTGTGCCAGTAGCTAATCGCATTCCCCCGTGCAACATTTATCATTTCACCCCATTTTGTGATGTTGTTTGGGTCACATCCTCCTTCAACGAAGCGGGATGGTCAGCGATTGTTCTACCCCGTCAACTGCTCCGACTGGAAGTTCAGTATTTTCATGGGAGTCGTCATGCCTTGTAGTCGGACGTTAAACATTTCCTCTCTATTTATACTAGTCTCTAATTCGCAAGCGATTCTTTTGTTACATCCTATGGTCTGTGTTCTAAACTATTCTGTCTGCAATGCTTTTCTTCCATGGTTTATTATCCAGCGTAGCCGAACTTGCTGCTGTGTGCATGTTCCTGCTTAATTTTTGGAAGTGGTTCATATTGTGCAGGCTTGGTGTTTTGCGAAAACCGCGCAAGTGTTGGGCTTTTGTACTGCATGTGGTATCTTCGTCTGCCTCCTGGCGCAGCAAGCCTTTTGTGTCGTTTCGTCGCGTGGAGATGTTGGTGCAGAGACGTACATAATCGTTCTTTTGAATGGTTTGCATAGGTCTGATTCATTTATGCCACGCCAATACTAGCTGAAATTTGGGTTGTATTTACTATTATTACGAATTTTCGTTGTTTTTACACCCAGCGTATTAACTTTTATGGTGAAGCAGGAGTTGAAGATATCAAGATAACACTACTTTTTGGATGGTTGATCCGTTGCAATCGCCATTGCTCTACGTTTTCTTCGTTATGTGTTTATTTACTGGTGGTGGTCAATGGACAAAGGCTTTTTTTTTATTTATTTATTTTATGACGATATATTGTTTTGTTTGTATGCTACATTGTAGTGAAAATGGTACATGCCTATATCATAGTGCAGCAAAATGGACCCTACTAAATAGAGGATGTAGTGTAGTTGGTTTTGTCCTGTAACTGTCTCGCATATGACCTACAGGTGGCCTTTGACAATCCCTTGCATGGCCTGTACTTGTCCCATAAATGTCCCCAGCTGACCTGCACACGTATACCCTGGCTGACCTACCTTTGGTCCCGAGAGTGTCCCAAAGCCAATGTCCCGCAAATGTCCCGAAGGAGTCCTCTGGGTTAGTTTTGAGGTTATTTTGGGACCTCACTTTTTAGTGACGCTCTATCTATCTCTCTCTCTCTCTCTCTCTCTCTCTCTCTCTCTCTCTCTCTCTCTCTCTCTCTCTCTCTCTCTATCTCTCTCTCTCTCTCTCTCTCTCTCTCGCTCTCTTTCTCTCTCTCTCTCTCTCTCTCTCTCTCTCTCTCTCTCTCTCTCTCTCTCTCTCTCTCTCTCTCCCTCTCTCTCTCTCTCTCTCTCTCTCTCACTCTCTCTATCTATCTCTCTCTCTCTCTCTCTCTCGCTCTCTTTCTCTCTCTCTTTTTCTCTCTCTCTCTCTCTCTCTCTCTCTCTCTCTCTCTCTCTCTCTCTCTCTCTCTCTCTCTCTCTCTCTCTCTCTCTCAAGCGGTCCTGCTCATTGATGAAACCTGGGTACACGCTACACACCAGCAGAGTGAACCTAGGAACAAGAACTTCTTCTACCACAACCCGGCTCCCCAGCCCTGACTTTCTAGCCGTTCTCTACGACGCTTCGAGGTCCAAAGTGCCGTATACGTCCCCGAGATAAGGAGCCCAAGGGTCTGCCCCGAGTTGGGAAAAAGCCGCACGGGAAAAGCCGCGTGCGCCGCGGGTAGATTCAGTTGTTGCGGTTGCAACAGCAGGGAGATATTCAACTCCAATGCGATATTTCTAAGAGGGCAAAGAGGGGGAATGACAATACCTTTGGCTCGCTTGATTTGGTCTCTGAATATTGCTATCGGAGTGGTCTTGCAACGGGTTTATTGCGTCCATCTTTTATGATGAATGGATTTGACATTGTGTGGGCAGAGTGAGAGGAGAGTGAGCAAGAGGATGGGTGGGAAGCTCCGTGGAGGTGGCTGGTATCTCCATGATTCATGCCGGTGCACCCCATTTTCTGTGGCCGTTCGCCGTTCGCTACGCCACTCACCAGCTTAACCTCTGGCCGCGCTCTCAGCGGCCGCATGTTTCACCGACCCTTCTTTGGACCGGGTTCCCTGGTGACGTGTCCGCGTTCCACATCTGGGGTTGCCTCGCTCACGTTCGTGCCTCTGGCACGGACAAGCTCACTGCCGGCACTGTCCCCTGTGTCTTCCTCGGTTTCCCCCTGGACTCCTCTAACTGGCACTTTTACCACCCGCCATCTCACCGCTTCTTTCACTACCGTGACGCCACTTTCGACGAGTCTGCCTTCTTTTACCACCGCTTTCCCCACCGAGGTCTCCCAGTTTCCCCTCCCCTGTTTCTGGTCCCCACTCCCCCGGTAGCTCCTGCTCACCTTCCTCCCCGTCCTGGTCCGTCTGGTGTGTCTCATGTCACTCCCCTCCCATCGGATGTCCCGGTCGAGGAGTCAGCTGACTCAGGTGGCCCTGCAGCATAGTTCTTGACGCCTATCTCTCCCTCGGTGTCTCCTCCTCCGCTGTCGTAGTCGCCATCGCCGAAGCCGCCGCCGCCGTCGCAGCAGCAGCAGCAGCCGTTTGTGGCCTCTTGGGGTGCTGGTGTTAAGGAGGGTGCTAGTCCTGGGATTCCTGTCGTGGCTTGTCTCGGCGGGCTCGGGAGTGGCATCGGTGCTGGAGAGAGTTCTCGCTCTGGGGGTGCTTGTTATAGGGGTGCTGGAGTGGAGTGTTCCGGAGGTAGCCGCGGTGCAGCTGGCAGTCCATGTGTCGGCGTCGAGCAGCAGTCGCCGCCGGTGTCCGCCCTGCGCCTGCTTGGTTTTCCCTCCCCTGACCACTTGACTGCGCCTCCCCCGCCACCTCCTCCCCTTCTTGTCCACGGTCCTGTGTTTCCTCCGCCGGACTCGTCCCCGGCTCGTTTCCCACCTCGTTCCCCTCCTGTTACTCCTCCTCTGTCTCCTAACCCGACGCCTCCGTTTCACATCTGGTCTCGCCGTCCCTCTCATGCTCGTCCAGTCTCCCCAGTTTAGAGTTGTCAGCCGATGTTGCTTCGTTCCCACGCGTCTCGTCCTCCCCTGCTCCCGTCTCCTCCTCCGTCGTTGCTCGCTGTCGCTCCTCCCTCGCTGTCTAACTACCTTCTTAGCGGATAGCTGCCATGGAGCAGGAGATGGCATCTTGGAGATCCACCGGCACCTACGTCGATGCATTTTCCCCACCTGGGGTGAACGTAGTCGACGGCCGATGGCTCTTCAAGGTGAAGCGCTCCCCTTGAGAGCCGCCTGTTTTCAAGGTGCGCTACGTGGCTAGAGGCTTTAGTTAGCGAGAGGGGGTGGACTTCTTTCAGACCTTCGCCCCGACCCGGAAGATGATTACTCTTCAGGCACAGCGTGACTATGAGCTCCACTCCCTAGACTTCTCCACTGCTTTTCTTCATGGCAGCCTACACGAGCAGGTCTACCTGCGCCGACCGCAAGGCTTCACCGGTACCTTCCCTCCTGGGACCCAGTGGCTCCTCCGACGCCCGTTCTATGGCCTGTGGTAGACGCCCCATGAGTGGCACGACACGCTGTGTGCTACGCTCGCTTACCTGCAGATCATTCCGTCCTCTGCAGATCAAGTTGCCGAGCTGGATGCATCCGAAGAAGGAGTTCGGGGTTTTTGCAGCTTCTTGTAGACCCCCAGCTTCCTCTTGAGCTGCTTCAGCTCCACCGACGTCTTCCCTGGGGAACGGGTAGTCGCTGTGGGCTGGTGTCGGGAGAGGACGTTGACTCAGTGGAAAGGTCGGCTTCTTTCCACACTCCTTAATTTGGTCCCCAAGTTCTCCGGTACCAGTACCATCTCCACAATTTTTTGCTTCTTCTGGAGTCCCTCCCGAAATTTCTCCAAGGCTCTAGCCCCTCGAGAATTACAAGTTTTCATTAAAGCATCTTTATAAGATAACTTTAACGAATCCTTATAATTTCTTGGGTCTTCAAGGAGTTTCCCCATCTTGGAAGAGTATTTTTTCGCGGAGTTAGATTTTTCCTCGGCGATTTCCTCTGGCGAAGACTGGTCGTGGGGTGGAGATTTTCCCCATCATTTTCTCCTGTTCGCGTCGAATCAGCTGCGTTGAAGTTGATTTTTCCGGAAGTCCGCCGCCGCTTTCGGATCTTTTCATTTTCGCCAGCTAGATCCGCAATCACTGGCGAGCCCCGTTTTTTTGTCTTCTGATTGGCCGAAGGATTTCCGCCACTGTTGCGTGCTTGATACTCAGCGGGTGCGGCTTTCATTTTGTTGCAGTTGAAGATTTGATGACCCGGCACCCCGCAAAATTCACACAAAAGAACATCACTGTAGCTCGCGTAGTTTGTCGCTGCCACTTGTCGTTTGACTTCGGTCTTCAGCCCGGCGAGGTACGACTGTACATTTTCCCCTTCGGTCAGGTCGGGAATGCGGTTATAAAATTCTTCCATCTGCTGCGTGTAGTGTGCTACACTCCCGAACTGTCGATGGCGATGAATTTTTTCCCGGGCAAGGAAACCCGAATTTATCGGCTCGAAGCGTTTCAGCAGGTCGGTGCGGAACTGCTGCCACGTGGCTTCGCCGTGGATGAAGGTGCTATTACCGCCGATCCACTCGAGTGCCGGCCCTCGCACCAGTGTCGCCGCGAGTCGTACACGTTGCCCGTCCCAGACTGGCGAGCTCCATCCGACGGCTGCAAAGTAGATCTCCATGCCGGCGATCCATCTGCGGACGTCGGAATTTCGATCGCTCGGATCGAACGGCTCAGGTGGGCGCGGTTTCGGAGCCTCGAGAAATTGCTGCGACTGCTGCATCGTCGCCGTTGTCGTTTCGTGTTGCGCGCCGGCGAGTCGAGTTACTCGCTCGAACTCTTGTCGCCAAGCTTTGCGGTCGGCTCGCATCTCCTCCTGTAGGGCGGCGATGCTTGCGAAGAGCTGCTGGGTAACTTCGACGTTGTCGAAGTTCGCCATCCTGTTCAAAACACACGCGGAGGGGGTAATTCGAAAAAACGCGGAGCTGGTGCTTACTCGAATCGGCGTCGAATTGGTCGCCCCGTCAGTTTTTCGAGGTAGGAGTCCAGCTGCTGCTGCTTAGCTGAGCGCGGCCGAGTGAGAAAAGCTTTGATTACCAAGTGTCACAGGATCGAATGTGTCGAGGAAAGGTTCCACTATCGATTGATACAAGGCGCTTTTATACTTCCAAAGTACATCAAGTAACCAGGTTTATCCTATCCCAAAGGAATAGACACTTCTAGAAAATACAATCACACTGCGTATAGCCACGCGAGTCTATTGGCTTTAAGGGATTACGGCAGGATTACGCTAGATATAGCGTACCAGTACATCCCGAGCCTGGTCGGTGATATAATGATAATAACATGATAAACCAAAGGTTTATGGAAAAGAAGGAATAGGAATCCATATGGTATGAGATAAAGACCAGATGAATCAAGATAAAAAAGAGGAACGAAATGGAAAGGAGAAAGGAATGGAACGGGGTCGTACTCTCACAGACACCGGCCACAGCACTGGTCGGCCGCTAAGAGGGTTTTGCGTTATCTAGCGAGTACATCGGGCAAGGGGCTAATGCTAGGAGGACGCATGCCGGTGGTCCTTACTGGGCACACAGACGCTTCTTGGGCAGATGACGGTGAGACCCTTAGGTCCTCCCAGGGCTACTGCTTTAGCCTTGGTTCGGGTGCCATCTCGTGGAGGTCCACTCGCTCCTCGTCTGTTGCCCAGTCTAGTTGTGAGTCTGAGATCTACGCCGGTGCCATGGCGGCACAAGAGCTCCATTGGCTGACCTTCTTGCTCGCTGACTTAGGTGAGTGGCCTAGCTCTGCCCCGGTTCTGTACGCTGACAACAGGGCCATGATCCTTCTGTGTCAGGAGCCTCGACCGGAGGGCACAGCGAAGCACATCCGGCTGCGGTACTTCCTCCTGCGCGAGCTACAGCAGCGTCGCCAGGCCCGCGTAGTACACTTGGCCTCTTGTGCCAACACAACTGATATCTTTACTAAGGCGCTTGCGCCTAAAGTTCATCAGCGGCACTGTTTGCAGCTTGGTCTAGTTCATGTAGACTCTCACTTGCTAGGACCTTGATTGTGTACTCCTCTTATATACTGTATACCTTTCAGACTGGACTTGTGGCTTCTCCTCCAGTGGCAGAGTAGTAGTGCTGCCCTGGTTGTCTTCTGAGTTGTTTGTAATCTTGCTGACTGGTCTTCGGACCCCTGCCTTAGAGGTTGGACTAGTAGTGCCACCCTGAGCTATGTTCTTCTTGCTCAGCACTACCCCATATCTAGCCTAGGGGGTGTGTCAACTTATACGTACTTGTGCATGTAGAAGTTATAGGCTAGAATAGGTGTGTGTTCTTAGAGAGTACAACCCAAACCCTAAATCTCCCTTGTTCTCTCTCATTTCTAATTCATTCTAGTATTCTAACACTTAAAGCTTGCCTTGCAAGTTGCGGGCTTGACGCATAGTGCGTTTGAAAGGTGTTGGTTGGGAGAGGTAACATGCCTCACTTGGTTCGTTTTTGACAGGAGATGTCAGTCGCGAGAACTGGACTTGAACTTGCAATCTGGGTCAGCCCAATACTCATAACCTCCGAGATTGTCTACCCCCCCATTTTCACCACCCTTGTCGTATAGGGGTGTCATAGGGAAGCCAAAAGGTCCAACGTGGCTAAAAGTGACGCCACCCACGGACCTCGGCGTCAGCCTCAAGGTGTCAACGCGGTTTGTATTTCCCCACCTACCCGCCTTGGCCACCCACGCCCCAATAGCCCTTCGTTGCAAAAGGGCATGCAATTCCCCCAACTAGGGGAAGGGGGAGGGCGTCCGTTACACGAGAATGCAAGGTGTTATGAGTGGGATTGGAACAGCCACTCAATAATGGGAATAGAACCTCAGAAAATAATGTCTGTACAAGTGACGAGCGAACTGGCTAAAATAGGGCACGGACGTGCTAGGACGAGCTAGGGCGAGGACCTCGGGACGTGAATGGTTTGGTTGGGTGTCGAGGGTGTCGGAACGCGACTCGGGAAGGTTTGGGCCGACAATAATGGCCGGACCTGCGAGTTCGAGGTCTTCGGGTGTACGCGCTGTAGTTCAACGCAGTAAGGAATGTTAATTCCTTACACTCTCCCACCTTCTAGATAAGGCCTTCCGTATATCGAAGGTCGAATCATGAAAAGTAATCCCCGATGTGAGTGTAGGTCTTCAGCACAATGACGAGTGTAATGATTACGCCGTCCTGACGATGTCTTCAGGTCGAAATGTGATCGATGGCCAGAAAACGTCGAAACGATCGTTTTTAATCTTGGTCGTCGAAGATTGTCGAATTCTTTAGCTGACCGAACGGGTACTGGCGAAAACTCTTGAAATTGTAAACGGTCAATCTGGCTGTTGGTGATGACGCGTGGCTGAGGAGGTCGTTCCTGACACATGCAAGCACACGCGCGCGTTCGTGGCTGTGGAAGTTAGCGAACTCCATCAACGAATAGACGAACTTCGACGAGGAAGCGTAACTGAAACGCATGTCGGGCGGTGATGGATAATAGAACACGACGGAGGGGTCATCAAAAGTTTGCAGCACAGCTGCACTTCTCCCCCCCTCCAAGAAGAAACAGCCCCCAACGAGCCAAGTAAAACTCCAGGGTAGTCAAAGTAAACCCACACTGCGGCTTAAAAATCCAGCAACCCTGCTGCGAGGATGCGTGGAAAACTCCAACCTGTAGAACATCCAAACTGCTTCAAGGGAAATTCTGGTGCAGTGCAACCGCTGCTGAGGTCCTGAAAATCAGCGACAACTACTCCAGAAGACTCCAACGAGCTGAAAATTTTCCGCACACAGTCAAAACACTGCTGGCAAGCTGGCCCCAACACAGCTTCCACAGTCCTACTGCCAAATCTTCTTGATTGGGTACTGCTTCGACGGATGGCGAATGGCGCGGGCGGTCTTGTTTACACAGGCGAGCGACAAGAAGCGAATTGAGGATGGAGGTGGTAGCGGGTGTTGGGGAGAGGTTGACGACAATTGCGAAGGAAGGTAACCTGTATGAGAACACTCCAGTGAACACCTCGAGCCGACCCCAATGTCAAATGACGCCAGCTGCATCAGCTTTTGTTGTCCGTACACACCGAAATTTTCGGCAAGGGCCAAAACAGCTGCCACTCTCATTTCCCTCTATGAAAGCAATGCAGTCTGAGAATGTCGGGCGATGTCGTTCGTACCCCGGAAGATATCGGGTACCACATCAGCGGTCAACACAGAGTCGCTCCACGCGGTTTTATCGGAAACCCAGGGACCGCTGCCCTGAAACCAGCTGCAACACTGCTTCGGAAATCCCGTAAACGTCGGAGACACGATGCCCAGCTGTGAATATGAAGTGCGACCCAGGTCGTCGGGTAGACTGCACGACATGCCCCTGAACTTAGCTTCTCCCACAACTCCGATTCACCGCTAGGCAGGTACTCCCAAACTGCTGGTGCTTAACAGCTGCGCCGCTAGTTCCCGAAGAATTCCCCGTCTGGCACCTGGCGTTGAGCAGCGCGCCGACTTTCACCCGTCGTTGCGCCCGCCATAACACCAAAACAGGTCCTAGGCTTTCGTGCCTTGGCAAGTAGCCCCATTAACCAGGGACAACTCCCGAAAGCTCCACCGCACTCCGAAAACAGTGTCGAACTCCAGCTGGAGCAGTGTTGTCGCAGCCGCCGCGACAATCTCGGCAGGTCGTCGTTCACCCAACTCCCCGCTTTTGATGGTCATACCAGAAACACACGTGCGCCGGGCACACAACTCGTTGTTGTTGGCTTTTTTTTTTTTTTTTTTTTTTTTTTTTTTTTTTTTCCATACTGTTGAACCCGCGGTACTCCCGCATTTTAACCAGCACATGTTAAACGCAACCCTGTCCACGTTATTCGTCAAGGACCGTCGGAGTAGTATTAAACCCGTACTTGGAACTGGTGTGGAAGATGTGAGCCGTTGGAAAATCTCGGTCGGTAGGTGGCCATTCTGCTACCGCCGCTTAGCCCAACACGGGGGCACTCAGCTTGAGATTTCCGCTACGCTGCCCTGCTCTTCCTGAAGTGTCGAAGTTCCCCTCTCGTCCAACCCGGTCTGTCGCATCTCCGTACGTTTTACCGGTAGAAACCCCCCAAAAGCGCGGATACTAAACGATGCACCAGAGACGTTGTTTCCTGGGCGCTGGCCTGTCTCCAAGGCTGTTTCCCTAGAAAAACGCAGGCGCCACTGTCGTTTTCTGGGAAATCGGCTTGGCGTGAAGATCGTCCACGACATCCGCAATCGTTGGTGCCGATTTAATCGGGTGCCAGGAACAGCTGCCGCCGATACTGCAAAAACTGTTTGCACGAAGGTGGCCGACTCCGAACTTTTTGGAAGTTAACGGCACACGCCGTCCCACGCTGCGTCGCTCCTGCCGGAAATTATGATGACGCGCCCACCTGGCAGCAATCCGCTCCAGTCCGGACGGGACAACACACCACTCCCGCATAATTCGGGTAGCTGGCACGTGTCGTCTCTCCTCGTCATGATAATTCCTAACGCACATTCCTCGTGCGCCTGGCGAGGTCCACAGCTGTCGTTTTCCCACGAGGCGAGCCTTGCAATTTTCGCGAGCCGCTGACGAAGTCCGCGCGAGATGTCTCGAAAATTCCTTCGTCGCGTAACGACGACGCTAGTTGCCGCTCCAAACAATTGAAATGAACGCCACTAAAATTACGCGGCAAAAACTCGCGACAGACACAGCTGTCCGTTCCTGGGGGGAGAGCGGGGCACGATCAATCCAGACTGTCCAAAGGAAGGGATCGAGTGGCGTAGAGGCGCACACGCTATCGTAGTTGTAGGAGCTAATCATATCTAGCTCCTGGTCAACCGCTGTGAAGCCTCAGTCCCTCCAGCCATCCCTCCTCCCGAAAAAAAATTCGGGCAGGCGGAAGCGACTAGCCTAAGAAAGTGCTCTGAATACCAGATGTTATGAGTGGGATTGGAACAGCCACTCAATAATGGGAATAGAACCTCAGAAAATAATGTCTGTACAAGTGACGAGCGAACTGGCTAAAATAGGGCACGGACGTGCTAGGACGAGCTAGGGCGAGGACCTCGGGACGTGAATGGTTTGGTTGGGTGTCGAGGTTGTCGGAACGCGACTCGGGGAGGTTTGGGCCGACAATAATGGCCGGACCTGCGAGTTCGAGGTCTTCGGGTGTACGCGCTGTAGTTCAGCGCAGTAAGGAATGTTAATTCCTTACACAAGGGGAGGACGAAACTCTGCAATAACATTATGTGGCACAGAATAACTGGTTCGGCAAAGCTCACAAAACCTCTGCCATTCAACCGCTCAAAACACAAGCACAAGTGGCTAGTCAGCAGCACACGTCATCTAGTCTGACAGTGTCTACGTCAGCATGTGAAACTCCAGTGTGAAGATGGGAACATTTTATCTCCCCCCAATTTCCCCTCATAGGGTACACGACAAATCCTGCCGCAGAATTGCCCGCGGAAAAAATACTGCAGGTTAGGTGTACACACAAGAATGAGTACCTTGGTCGATGGTACAGCTTCAATTCGCCTGCAATCTAGAGCCGTCGATCTGTTGTTTCTACGTTCTAGAGCCGTTGGATCTGTCAAACTTTCATCCTACGGTCCATATTCAACCCGAACCCCCTCTGCACTCGCCCGTTGTGTTTATTTTCGCGACGTTTTCCGCGAAACCACTCGTGATAATTTTCTGTCGCACATCGCTAAGTTTTCCCACAAGCTCAAATACACTACGTTTGAACAAAGTTGGGTTGCGCGCTTTAAAGCCAATGTCTCATTAAAGCGAGAATCTAAAAACCCCCCAAAGTCAAGTCCTAAATTTTTTCCCCCAACCAAAGTTGACATGGTAACCCGTTTTGACGGGCGACACTTCAAAATCCCGCGAATCGCTTTCTGACTGGCGCAACAACCCACACACCCGCCAACCTCTGCGACAAACCACCCACCAAACTCTCGCCCACCTCCCCCCTTCCCCAAACTCATGTTCTAAGTCTAATCGGCAGTTTCTAGACTAGTAATCACGGGCAAGTAGGCATAGCCGCCTAAATGCCACAGAGCGTCGCAAAAACAGGGTTTGAAGCGCGACCTTTCGTGCACTCTCGGCATGCTTAGGATTCGCACACAAGAGCGCCAGCCGCTCCCACCCGCTGCAAGTTCAACACATCCGACGCGGATCCATGCCTGCCACCAAATCCCGACGGCATTCGCACAGCGCCGCAATCCCACCGTCAGGTCGCAACGCTCGCCTTAACTGAGCTAGGCCTTCACGCAAGCCATGCACCCCGTGCTAGCACGTTACGAAATGGCAGCCGATCCAACGCGGCGCCTCTTAGCACATGCCCGCCAGTCCATCGCCACCACGTCCGTGGGTGCCATCCCCCCACGCCGCCTGCCAGTAACCGACCGCCGACCGCCGCGCTGAGCGTCGACCCTTGGTCCGCTCAAATACAGGTTCATGTAAGACGGGGATTGAGGGTGGGCAAGAGGGGGATGGGGAGAGGACAAGAGGGGACGGGAAGGGAGCAAGAGGGTTATGTGTGGGGGAAGGGGATAAGGCAAGAGGGGGATGAGGAGAGGACAGGAGGGGGATGGGGAGAGGACGGGAAAGGGGGATGGAGATAAAACGAGAAGGGGATGGGGAGAGGAGGGGGATGGGTACAGGGCGGGAGGAGGATGGGGATAAGACGAGAGGGGGATGAGGGTTTGACGAGAGGGGGAATGGGGAGAGGAGGAGAGGGGGATGGGAAGAGGATGGGAGAAGGATGGAGATAAGACACGACCGGGATGGGGAGAGGACGGGAGGGGGATGAGGAGAGATCCGGAGGGGGATGGGGAGAGGACGGCAGGAGGATGGGGAGAGGACGGGAGAAGGATGGAGATAATACGAGAGTGGGATGGTGAGAGGACGGGAGGGGGATGAGGAGAGAACGAGAGGGGGAAGTGGATAAGACTAGAGGGGGGTGAGGAGAGGACGAGAGGGGGAAGTGGATAAGACGGAAGGGGGATGGAGATATGACGAGAGGGGGATGGGGAGAGGACGAGAGGGGGATGAGGAGAGGACGACAGGGGTGTGGTGAGAGGACGGGAGGGGGATGTGGATAAGACGGGATGGGGATGAGGAGAGGACGAGAGGGGGATGGGGAGAGGACGGGAGGGGGATGAGGGGGCGACGAGGGGGGAATGGGGAGAGGATGGGAGGGGGAAGTGGATAAGACGAGAGGGGGTTGAGGAGAGGACGAGAGGGGGATGGAGATAGCACGAGGGTGAGTTGGGGAGAGGGCGAGAAGGGGATGAGGAGACAAGGAGAGTGGGATGAGGGGCGGAAGAGAGGGGGATGAGGAGAGGACGTGCGGGGAATGGTGAGAGGGCGGGAGGGGGATGGGGAGAGGACGGGAGGGGGGTGGGGAGAGGAAGGGAGGGGGATGGGGAGAGGACGGGAGGGGGGTGGGGATAAGACAAGAGGGGGGTGCGGGTTTGACGAGAGGGGGATGGGGAGAGGACGGGAGGGGGAAGGAGAGAGGAAGGGGATAAGGATGGGGATAAGGCGGGAGAGGGATGAGGAGAGGACGAGAGGGGGGTGGGGAGAGGACGGGAGGGGGATGGAGAAACACCCAGAGGAGGATGGAGATAAGACGAGAGGGGGAGGGGGAGAGGACGGGAAGAGGATGGAGAGAGGATGAGAGGGGGATCTCGAGATGACGGGAGGGGGATGGTGAGAGGACGAGAGGGGGGTGAGGAGAGGACGGGAGTCGGATGGGGAGAGGATGGGAGGGGGTTAAGGAGAATACAAGAGGGGGATGGGGAGAGGACGGGAGGAGGATGGGGATAAGGTGAGATGGGGATGAGGAGAGGATGAGAGGTGTGTGTGGAGAGGACGAGGGTTGGGGATGGGGAGAGGACGGGAGGGGGATGGGGAGAGGAAGGGAGGGGGATGGATATAGGACAAGAGGGGGATGGGGAGAGGACAGGATGGGGAGGGGGAGAGAACGAGAGGGGGATGGGGAGAGGACAGATGGAGAATGGGGATAAGGCGAGAGGGGGATGAGGAGAGGACGAGAGGTGGAGGGGAGGAGGACAGGCACTAAGAGGGGGGAGTGGGAAGAGGTCTGTAGAGAAGGGATGATAGCGCCTTCAGGGACCACTAAGAGAGTACAGCTAGGGGGATGGGCTGGATAGGATGGATCTGGGGGGGAGCATGAGCATGAGGGATGAGCAGGTATTGGAGGGATAAGAGGGCCAGGAGGGATAGGGGATAGTAGTAGGGGATGATGGTGCGCCGGGAATGCAGGGAACTGAGGGTTAGTAGTATTAGGGGGGATGGCAGGGATAGGAGAGATTGGGGAAATGGCAGTGGTAGGAGATATAGGGAGAATGGTAGGGGTAGAGATAGCGGGATGGCAGGGATAGGGGAGATAGGGCGGATGGCAGGGGAAGGAGAGATGGCAGGGGTAGAGATATTGGGGAGGCAGGGATAGGGGAGATAGGGCGGGTGGCAGGGGAAGGAGAGACGGCAGGGGTAGAGATTGGAGGATGGCAGGGATAGGGGAGATAAGGCGGATGGCAGGGATAGGGGAGATAGGGCGGATGGCAGGGAAAGGAGAGATGGCAGGGGTAGAGATAGGAGGATGGCAGTGTGAGTAATGGGGCATTTGGGCATGGCAGTACTTCCGTGTACGTCGATTGCAATCTGCAGAAGAGGCGTGTTTCCATTTGGCGTGTTTTCATGCGTGCGTTTGTGCATGACACAAGTCTCCCTTGTGGTTTTTAGACAAGAGGGGATTGGATTGGACGCCTGTTCTCTGTTGTCCAGAACACGCCCAAGTTTCATCCAATTTTGTGGTCGCATCGTTAATTTCTGCGACCCTGGGCAATTTTGACGAGGTGTGTTCGAGGTTCGCGCTCAACACCGGAGTGTCGCAGCCAACCCCGCAAGTTATTTCCGTTTCATTACGTTCGTCAAAATCGCCCGGCCGGATTGTCAAGTCCTAAGTTTTTGACACAGGGGGTTTTGAGATCCGCAATTTAATTCCAACTCTCAAAATTTTGTTAAGACTAGAAAGGATGATTAGAAGAACGGAGAATAGAGGAGATAAAGCATCTGGGTTGTACCCACTAAGAACATACCCTATCTAGCTTATAATTTCTACATAACAATATATGTATAACTTGACACACCCCCTAGGCTAGATAAGGGGTAGTGCTGAGCAAGACACACGCAGCTCAGGGCGGCACTACTAGTCCAACCGCTGAGGCAGGGGCCCGAAGACCAGTCGGCAAGAGTACAAGCAAGACAGAGCAAACCAGGGCGGCACTACTACCGTAATCCCCCGTATAAAGCACCCTACGGTGTTAATAAAAATGCAGCAAAATTTTGGGTTGGGTGTAATTAAAGGCCAAAAAAATAAAACACCCAGGAGTTATGGAATGTGCATATGCTTTTTTTTAATTGGAGTTCAAGGGTGCCTGTTTCACCACATTCATTTGAGTCAGATACCCACTTTTGGTCATCTCATTGCATACTGGACGATATTCCCGATCTGCATGCCACATTGGCAGTGAGCATGCAGTGTCAGGGAGGATGCTGTCATAACAACCAATGAGCACACGTTTGATTTGGCGGGACGCGCGAAAGTCGAGTACAGTCTCAAACTTTCGGATTTCAATGTTCTCGTCGATTTTGTTTTTGTTCGGGCAGATTCGTCTCCTACCTAAGAGCGTGTTTCTACGAGCCTCTTCCCAAGGAACCTTCCCAGACTCGCGAGCTACAGTGTCGCGGACGCGAAATGTTTCAGTGCTGTTCTGTAAGGTGCAACGTCAGGTTCAGCCTACCGAGATTCATGGACATGTTTCAAAACCTCTGTTCAGGCGACATTTTTTCCGACACTCGGGAATCTGTACAGTAAAATTTCGGCGCGAGCAGCTTTTTTTTGCGATTGAGCCGTGGAACGACGCAACACGAAATTCTGGATATACACAACACCCTACTCTTGATCGTGAAATCTTTTGAACACCCCCCTGCCACTAGAATCTCCATTTCTAGCAGGAAACGCCAGAATTTCGGCGGAGCTTAATTGCTCAGCAACACCCATACCCGCTCAAGCTACCCGGGGGAGCTTAATTCCGGCGGGTGTTTTATACGGGGGAATACGGTAGTCCAACCACTGGAGGAAAGGCCATAAAGCCAGTCTGGAAGGCATAAATAGAAAGGTTCTATTCCCATTATTGAGTGGCTGTTCCAATCCCACTCATAACATCTGGTATTCAGAGCACTTTCTTAGGCTAGTTGCCAGCAACACCCATACCCGCTCAAGCTACCCGGGGGAGCTTAATTCCGGCGGGTGTTTTATACGGGGGAATACGGTAGTCCAACCACTGGAGGAAAGGCCATAAAGCCAGTCTGGAAGGCATAAATAGAAAGGAGTACACAATCAAGGGCCTAGCAAGTGTAAGTCAACGGGAACTAGACCTAACTGCAAGCAGTGCCGCTGTTGGTCTCTAGGCGGAAGCGCCTTAGTAAAGATATCAGCTATGTTGGCACCGGAGACCAAGTGTACTACGCGGGCCTGGCAACGCTGCTGAAGCTCGCGCAGGAGGAAGTACTGCAGCTGGATGTGCGTCGCTCTGCCCTCAAGTCGAGGCTCCTGACACAGGAGGATCGTGGCCCTATTGTCAATGTACAGAACCGGGGCAGAGCTAGGCCGCTCACCTAAGTCGGCAAGCAAGAAGGTCAGCCAGCGGAGCTCCTGTGCCGCCATGGCACAGGCATAGATCTCAGCCTCGCAACTAGACTGAGCAACAGACGAGGAGCGAGTGGACCTCCACGAGATGTCACCTGAACCAAGGCTGAAGCAGTAGCCCTGCGAGGACCGGAAGGTCTCAACGTCGTCTGCCCAAGAAGCGGCTGTGTGTCCAGTAAGGACCACTGGCCTGCGTCCCACTAGCACTAGCCGCATGCCCGATGTACTTGCAAGATAAAGCAAAACCCTCTTAGCGGCCGACCAGTGCTGCGGTCAGTGTCTGCCTGTGGCCACTAAGCGGGCCAGGATGCTGAGAGGGTATGCGAGATCTGGACGAGTGCAAGTCATCAAGTACATGAGGCAACCCACCAGCTCTACGTAAGGACCACTGGGCTCTGCTGACTCCTCGGGAACTGGAGCTGAGAGCCTGTGGTCTACCCTTCCGGCAGAGGTGTGGGCTGTGCGGAGGAGAACTGAAGACTGAACCTCTGAAGGACCTGGCACACCAAGTGTGACCGTGTAAGAGTGATGGTGCGCGCTGCTCTGTCCCTGGAGATCTGCAGGCCAAGGTAGCGGCGCAGCTCTCCCAGGTCAGTGCAGGTGTGTCTCCTCAGCAGCTCAGCCTTCACGGAGGCCAGCGCGTCTCTATCTGTAGTAGCAAAGACCAGGTCGTCTACGTAGACAAGGATGTAGAATGGAGTCTCGCCAGCACGAATGAAGAGCGAAAGGTCAGCAAAGGACGGAAAGAACTACAAGTCAGCTAGCGTGGCACGCAGCGTGTCGTGCCACTGACGGGGCGCCTGTCGCAAGCCGTAGACGGGGCGCCGGAGGAGCTACTGGGTCCCAGGAGGGAAAGTACCGGTGAAGCCCTGAGGGCGGCGCAGGTAGACGTGCTCGTGTAGGCTGCCCTGAAGGAAAGCAGCGGAGAAGTCGAGAGAGTGAAGCTCGTAGTCACGCTGTGATGCTACGTGTAGCAGCGCCTGAAGAGTAGTCATCTTCGAGGTTGGGGCGAAGGTCTGAAAGAAGTCCACCCCCTCTCGCTGACTCAAGCCTCTACCGACGTAGCGCGCCTTGAACACAGTCGTCTCTCCAGGGGCGAGCTTCACCTTGAAGAGCCACCAGCCATCGACTACGTTCACCCCAGGTGGGGGAACTGCGTCGATGTGGGTGCCGGTAGCCCTCCAAGATGCCATCTCTTGCTCCATGGCAGCTATCCACTGAGAGGCCCAGGGTCTCGAGGTGGCCTCAGCGTAGGTTCGAGGGGTCGGGATGTCAAAGGCGTCGGGGTCATCTTCAGGGACTAGCAGCATGGAATAGAGATGGGGAGCAGCATCTGACATGAAAGCAATCTTGTGCTGCCGGTCCTCCAAGACGTCACTGCCGAGGGCAGGAGCAACCCCGATGGACGGAGGACAGACAGGGTCACAGACCAGAGCGGTAGCGAAGTCAAGGCGGCGAGTAGAGGCAAAGTCAGCGACAGCAGCTACAAGAGCGTCAAGATTGGAGACAGGAACAGAAAGGTCGGTAACAAGGGAGGCAAGGACCCGAGGAACAAGAGGACGAGCAGGACGAAGGTAGTCAGACAGAGGGGGAGGCACGACAGTGAGCGACGACGTAGGAGGCGAAGGCAAACGGGGAGGACGAGACGCGTGGGAACGAAGCAACATAGGGTGAGAACGCTGAAGAGGAGAGACAGGACGAGCACGAGAGGGACGGCGAGACCAGACGTGAGACGGAGGTGTAGGGTGAGGAGACAGAGGAGGAGTAACAGGAGGGGAATAAGAGGGGACACGAGCCGGGAACGAGTCCGGTGGAGGAAGCACAGGACCGTGAACAGGAAGAGGGGGGGACGGCGAGGGAGGCGCAGGCGAGCGGTCAGGGGAGGGAAGGCCAAGCAGGCGAAGGGCGGACACCGGCGGCGGCTGCTGCTGCTGCTGCTCAACGCCGACTCTTGGACCACCAGCTGAACCATGGCTACCTCCGGTACACTCCACGCCAGCACCCCCAGAACGAGAAACATCTCCAGCGCCGGTGCCACCCTCGAGCCCACCGGGACAAGCCACGACAGCAGCCCCAGGACTAGCACCCTCTCCAACTCCAGCACCCCCAGAGTCCACGAACGGCTGCGGCTGCGACGACGGCTGCGGCTGTGGCGGCGGTGACAGCGGCGGCTACGGCGGCGGCGGCAGCTGCGACGATGGCTGCGGCTGCGGCGGCGACTGCGACGAGGGAGGAGGAGACACCGGGGGAGGGATAGGCGGCGCAGAGTGCGCCGCGGGGCCACCGGAGTCAGCTGACTCCTCGACCGGGACAACCGACAGGAGGGGAGTGACGTGAGACACACCAGACGGAGCAGGACGGGGAGGGAGGGGAGCAGGGGCGACCGGGGGAGTGGGAACCAGAAATAGGGGGGGGGGGGATCGGGAGACCTTGATGAGGAAAGCGGTGGAAAAATGAGATGGACTCGTCGAATGTGACGTTACGGGAGTGAAGGAAGTGGTGAGACGGCGGGTGGTAGAAGTGCCAGTCAGAGGAGTCAAGGGGGAAACCGAGGAAGACACAGGGTATGGTGCGGGCAGTAAGGTTGTCCGCGCCGAAGGCACGAATGTGAGCAAGGCAGCCCCATACGTGGAACGCAGACGCGTCACCAGGGAACCCGGTCCAAAGGAGGGTCGGCGAAACCTGCAGCTGCTGGGAGAGTGGCCAGAGGTTAAGCGGGTGAGCGGCGTAGCGAACGGCGAACGGCTACAGAAAATGGAGTACACCGACATGGATCATGGAGGTACGAGCCACCTCCATGACCACGGTGGGATTGGAGACACAGCACAGGGAGACTGTGGTGGAGGCGTGTAGCCACGAGCCACGGGATAAGAACGTCAGGCACGTCGGCCTTCCGCTCCAGGGGAAACACCGTGGTGTAGCGCGTGAAGTCGTCAACGAGCACAAGAAAGCAACGCTCGCGACGCGGCCCAGGGACAGGAGCTGGGCCCCAGACATCCAAGTGCAGGGTCTGAAAGGGTGCAGTAGCAGGGCGAAGTGAGGAGGAGTGAAGAGCACGGCGCAGCCGGCCCTCGACGCAGGGCATGCACGGCGGCGCAGGTGAGGGAGGGAGAGCAGAGAGCGACGCAGGGAGGCCGAGGACTAGACCGTGTTGAGACATGTGAAGCAGGCGGGGGAGCGCGGGGTGACTTAGACGGTGGTGCCACAATAGGGATGGGTGAGTGAGCGACCAACACGAGCAGGCCGCAGCTACCTGGGTGGATGCATGACCGAAGGAGGACTCGCCCACCGGGGGGGGAGCAGCGTAAACAGGCCAGACACAGGGTCCCGGAGGAATGTCGCAAGGGGGGCACCTGAGGCGGCCTCGGAAC